GGATGAGAGACGAAACGTTTCTACATTTTTTTGTTGATTTGCTTTGTTTTGTTTTTTTGAATGTCCAGAGGACCAGATTTAACTTTTTTAGATTTTTCTACCTGGATTATTGAGCATGCATCAGGATATTCTTTTATTTAAGCTTATGTTTATTTTAAGCTTATGTTTATTTTAAGCTTAAGCTTATTTTTTTAAGCCTATGTCTATTTTTTTCTTTGGAGCGGTTAGCTTTCTTACTCATACATTTGACCAAAAGTACAGTTCAGGTGCTGTTACTAAAATGTTACCATGAGTTGTACAACATTCTCAGAGAAAGCAGTAATGGGAAAGAAAACGTTTGTAAATTTGAATTATTTTATTATTAGCTGTGGAACCCCATTTGTTCCCAAAACCATCAAAGGAGCCATTTTGTGATTGCGTTTGTTCGTATTGCTTTCCTGTCTTCTCTTGACAGTCGAGGCAGATGGGTCAGGGTGCCCATCCTGAGCCTAATTTTGGTTCTGCTGGAGGTTTCTTCCTTTCTTTTTTACTTAAGAAACATCTTTATTTCTTGAAAACTTTCTTAAACTTCTAAGAAACTTGCAGTACTATCATAAAAGTGCTGTATGATTTTATCAGATTTTACTTGTTTCAAGACTAAAAGTAATCAGGTGTAGTGGTGATCTAGGCCCCGGTCTAAAGAGGAGTCTGCTGGAGTCCAATGAATCCAATGGAGCATTATTGTTTTCAGACATGATTTACACCTGCTAATGGTAAGATCTTTGGCTGCATGTATTTCCATGTAATCCAGGGTCTTTGTGTTTTTGTTGCAGCTTGATTTGTACAATCAGAGGCTTCTGGAGAAGAGAGAGCAGCAATTCAAAGAGATGATTGCTCGTAAGAAACGGGGAGAGATCAACGATGGCTCGCAGGTCTCACCAGGTATAAACATTTATTGGCTTATAAACATAGACTTAACTAGCAGCCTTTAATTTATAAGAGTTTTAGTGGTTAGTAAGGATATACTGTGAACTTGCTTGATCCATCAGAATAAAAACTGTTGCATGCAATTTATATTTATCCATATTACGTTTTTTTTATATACATGCGCTTTGAGCAGTTCAGTTTTTTAATATAAACCAGACATTCACAAGAAGACTAGACACTCGTTTGTTTCTCTTGGGACTTGGTTGTTTTGTTGTAAACTAATGTAAAGCTAAACTTTATAGGTTTATTCATACATTAGATCAGCAAGGTTCAGGAACGGAGACTTTGTTCAGCCACTAAACTAGAGTCGTTCTTTTTTTGATCAACGCTCTCCCATACATGTTACTGAAAATTTCTGTAATCCAAGAACAGTCTAAGCATCGGTTTCAGCTCCATCGTAGCGTGACATTTATTTGAAGTCAGTGATTAAATCGACTATCAAGGCAAGTATGTTTTTATTGACATGACCTTGAACATTTTGCCAGTAACTTGCAACCTGATCCAAACCCGTGGTACATTAACAGAAGCTGCACTCATACAGGTTTCTGTTAACCTGTTGATGAGGCTACTCAAAAATTGAACTGCGGTCCTGTTCGGTTATGTTTCTGCTGCAGCCGTTAGCCGGACCTTATACTTTGTGATGCCAGCCAAGGAAAGAAGCTGCCAAATGAACTAAGTAACATCTTTTTCTTCTGCATACATTGATATCTAGGTTTTAAGGCAGGAGGTAGGTCTAAGAATGCATTTTACATTGGTAAAAATGACGTGGATAAGGTTAGAACTTGAGTTTATTGATGTTTATTCTGTATTCTTTAACTTCTGCTTAAACTTACGTCCAAGTAAACGTGGCTATTTTATAGAATATTTGCTGTAAACAAACAAGACAAACACAGTTTTACCAAAGGGTTTTAAAGTTGATACTCGGCTCTTATTATCAAGGCTTTTAGATAGTGACAGTATTTTCAGCAAGCTAGTGCCATTTTACATTTCCAGCTTACATACTTTTACCCACTGGGGTCACCTATACCTTCTAACTTCTTCAGACTATTTGCAAATGGTAGGTGTCACAACCATATGATAAATATACTCTCAAGTTATTTTTTTTAATTAAAACCGTTTTGAGGGGGTATGTCTGACTCTTTTTCTTTCTAATATTTTCTGGTGATGAGAACTTCCGAGTGGTCAGAGGTTCCTGGTGTTGATGAAAACATGAAGCTACCCAATCTCCCTAGACTTTAACTTGCCTCGTAGCTTTTTCTCATCAGATAACTCATGATGTTTGTGAGAAAAATCTACCAATTTCACTCTTCTTCGGACATCAGAGTTTTCAGTTTTGTGCAGTTTTCGGTTGCCCTGATGAGGAAGAACATCGTCACCAGGACTCAGTGAACTCTGTAAGTTAGGATGGCTTTTGTAAACATGGCTTAAACAGTCCAGGACTAGGTTGGATTATAAATCCAAGCTTTGTATATTTAGGGTTGTTGGTGTCAAGTCAATTTTGTAAACTTATATTCTTATGTTGAGTTAAGGCTACAAACTACACATGCTAATTTTCTCTGGAATGTAATTTTTTGTTGATGTGAAGTAATCATTACACACGTGTTTTGACTTCTCTCTAAACATAATCATTGAATTAGTTGTTTCTATTACAATAGGTAAAGCTTTGTTTGAACTGGAGATTATGATTAATCTGGTTTGGTTGTTTCAGTAAAAAAAAAAAAAGAAATGGAATATTTTGTGTATTAGGTGGAGTTATTTTTTTAATCTATTTACAATACATTCAAGCCATGTTGATCAAAGCCTCATAAGTTCCTTTCAAGACTTAGACCATCCTGAAACTGTTGAAATTCCACATACTTCAAAATAATACATCGGTATGTTTTCAAAGCATGTTGAAATGTCTTCAAGACAAGTTACATCATCCTTCAAGTCTGTTTTGCTACGTTTTCAAAGCAGGATACACTTTCTTTGAGGTAGGTTGGTCTACAACTTAGAGGCAGGTCGCACTACATCTTCAAGGCAGGTCACTGTATGTCTTTGGGACAGGTTGCGTAATGCCTTTAAAGCAGGTTGTGCTACGCCTTTGAAGCATTTGCACTATGTCTTCAAGGTAGGTTGTGCTTCATCTTCAAGGCAGGTTGCGTTACGTCTTTAACGTAGGTCATGCTACATTAAGTCAGCTTGTGCTACATCTTCGAGGCAGCTTGAGCTACGTCTTCGAGGCGGGTTGCGCTACGTCTTCGAGGCAGTTTGCGCTACATCTTCGAGGCAGCTTGAGCTACGTCTTCGAGACGGGTTGCGCTACGTCTTCGAGGCAGTTTGCGCTATATCTTCGAGGCAGGTTGCGCTACGTTTTCGAGGCAGTTTGCGCTATATCTTCGAGGCAGGTTGCGCTACGTCTTCGAGGCAGATTGCGCTACATCTTCGAGGCAGGTTGCGCTACGTCTTCGAGGCAGATTGCATTACGTCTTGAACTCAGGTTATGCTACATCGTTAAGTCAGATTGAGCTACGTCTTCGAGACAGGTTGTATTACATCTTTAACGCAGGTCATGCTATATTATCAAGTCAGCTTGAGCTACGTCATCAAGTCAGCTTAAGCTACTTCTTCTAGGCAGCTTGTGCTACGTATTCAAGGAAGGTTGCATTACGTCTTTAATGCAGGTCATGCTATGTCGTGAAGTCAGCTTGTGCTACATCTTCAAGTCAGCTTGAGCTACATCTTCAAGGCAGCTTGAGCTACATCTTCAAGGCAGGTTGCATTACGTCTTTAACGCATGTCATAAAGTCAGCTTGCACTACATTTTTGAGGCAGCTTGCGCTACGTCTTCAAGGCAGGTTGCATTACATCTTTAACGCAGGTCATGCTACGTCGTCAAGTCAACTTACTCTACATCTTTGAGGCAGATCGAGCTACGTCTTCAAGGCAGGTTGCTCTACATCTTGAAGACAGGTTGCATTACGTCTTTAACGCAGGTCATGCTACGTCATCAAGTCAGCTTGTGTATATGTTTGAGGCTGGTCGCTCTACGTCTTCGAGACAGGTTTCGTTATGTCTTCGAGGCAGGTCGCGTTATGTCTTCAAGGCAGGTTGCACTACGTCATTGAGGCAGGTTGCCCTTCATCTTGAAGGCAGGTTGCGCTTCATCTTCAAGGCAAGTTGCCCTCCATTTTCAAGGCAGCTTGCCCTTCATCTTCAAGGCAGGTTGCCCTTCATCTTCAAGGCAGGTTGCCCTTCATCTTCGAGGCAGGTTGCCCTTCATCTTCGAGGCATGTTGCCCATCATCTTCGAGGCATGTTGCCCTTCATCTTTGAGGCAGGTCACAGCAACTTTTCAAAGAATTTTGCAGAGGTCAGAACATTTTTAAAACTGGTGATTCAAAGTACTGATGTCCTCGTTTATGTTAAAATAAAATAAAGCTAGACAAAGTGATAAAAAAAATTATTCAGATGGTGACTTTGTCTGAAACTCTCCTGAATAATTCAGACTCTTCAGTAAAATGTTAAATTAATCAGAATTTTAAAAGCAGCTCTGCAGTGAGTTTTTACCACCATAATGTTTTTGTCAATGTTGTCACTGTTATAGTCTGTGTCTAAGCTACAGTAAATGTTTCTGAGGTAAATAACATGCTGAACAGCTACCTGTGCCTTCCTGTGTTCATATTAATAAGAACAGCTCCTGAAATTATTGGGAACTCTTTGACCATTCACGTCAAATTTAGCTTTACGATTTTCTGACCAGCTGTTAATCTGCTTCTCATTTTCAGTTATTTAAAATGTAAATTTAGAGACTAAATTTCACCTGCTTTAGCCATTTGATACAGAATTTACCAATAGTTCTTCATTAAACATGGTAAGTTAATTTCTACTGTTAATTCTTTTGTGACCCTATTTTTGAATGTGTACTCTTTAACTTTATGTTGTAACATACATGTCCCTGCACAATTTGAATTACAGTTACCGGTATATGTACTTCTAATTATGCCTGTAATTTTTGTACCTCAATTGGGGGTTTTAGCTTAGAAAACAAACAGCCTTAGAGTTATTTACATGTTTGATGTAATTTTTTAACTTCAGATACTAAAATGAAAAATTGGAATAGTCTTTGAGTTGCTGCTAAGTTGACAAAGTTTATGTGTAGAAATGCCATAAATGAAAGCCAGTTGAATAATGTCTTAAGAAATTCAGTTGAATTATTTATTCAGACTGATGAAATTTGAAACTTGATTTCGCTCCAATACTGTTGATTGCACATAACACAAATAACAATGTCTAACTTACCTTTACTCGTACCTTCAGGTAATTTCTTAATGCACATTGTCATCCTTTTCACAAATTTGACAACCTAATTCCCTGTTCATATCAGTTTGTTCCAGTATAAAGTTTGGGAACAGAAATATGATTAAATTAAACCTATTAAAACATACATTGTATCATCCAGCCATTTGAATATATGGGATCTGTTAATTAATTGATAATCAATAAAGGTGCAATCATGAAAAACAAAATTAAGATAATCTCTTAAGAACTTGTGATAATTCTGGATAATACTACTTCAACAACAATAACAAAATTTAACTGCAGTAATTTAGGAGGAACATGAAAGAAGGCAGCCTGATCAAAGTCAAGTCAAAGTCACTTTATTGTCAAAAACTGCAATATGTACAGGACATACACAGAATTGAAATTACATTACTCTCAGACCCCGGTGCAACAATAACCATTTATGATGGCTTGATACTGGAAACCAGATGCGCTACAAAGGTCAGGAAGATGGACTAAAAGTGATCAAACACAGCCGAGCAGGGTATTAAGATGGATGGATGTGAAGATGGTGAAATAAGGGCCTGAGTGTTTTCAACCTTTTCCAAAAAAAAGAACTGAAGAAATTTCACACAAACATCAGTAGAAATTTCACAAACGAGGTTACTGTAGAGGCAGGGCAGCCGGCTTGGGACCCGAAAGTCCCAGGTTCGATCCCCAGTCACTGCACATCACGTGGCGTCTCTGGGCAGCACATCTCATCCCCAAAATGTCCCCCGGGCGCTTTCAATAGCTGCCCACTGCACCACCTGGTGGTGGATGGGTTAAATGCAGAGACTAATTTCGCCATTGTATGGAAACATACAGTGCTGACATTGTGATGACATTATTATTATTATTATTATTATTACTGACGAATTCGGAGTAGCAGCAGAAGCACAGGGAGTGCGTCCCAGAGAATTGGGCCAGGGTGCAGGGCTGGAATCTCCTGATCTGAGCCAACATTAGAAATCTGTCAGGAATCATTGTCCCAAGAGTATCATGAAGTGAAGAGGTAGGGAACCAACCCCCAATAACCTGGGAGCACCTTGGGAAAACAAGCCCAACAAGTGTTTAGCCTGACCAGCTAGCTACACCAGGGGTGGGCAAACTTTCAGACTCGCGGGCCACACTGAGTTCTAAAATTGTAGCGAGGGGGCGGGCCAGGAACAGATGGATGGAGTGTTTGTATGATGTTACACCCCAGCGCAATAACAGCTGCTGGGACGTAATTAATTATGGGTGATTCCACCTTCTGCACCACTCAAGCAGCCACTAAGTCAGGATTATATAATAAAACAGTGATTTTATTTACAAAAGTGAAATTATTGACTTTGTGGAGTCTTACCAACTTCAGGCCAAAACAAAACAAACCACTGTATTTTCTTTTGCCTAAAGAAAAATAAAATTAACCAAACCACAAGTTTCTTACCTCACTATGCTAATGGAATACAGGAGAAAAGTCAAAATAAAGTGGCAGCTCACCTCTACAAACTCCTCAATACTTTTTTACAACTATAGGATCTAAAGTTGATGACAGGTCAGCAGGTTGGGAATGGAAGCAGACGTCATCCTTCTGCAGCCAGCTCCTCTTATCACAACAGAGTATCGGGACAATAATTCACACACACACACACACACATATATATATATATATATATATATATTTTTTTTTTTATTGTCCACGTTTTGGACAATTTCGGCAGGCCAATTAAAAAGCCCAACAGGCCGTATACAGCCCGCAGGCCAGGGTTTGCCCATGCCTGAGCTACACTCTGTCAACCACACTGACCTGCTGGAACAGGATCCGGGAACTCCCTTATTTTGACAGGTTGCATTCCAGCAACTGTTTGCTTGGATCCGACAACTCTCAGGTTTACTATTAATAAAGTTATGAACAAATATGTCTGCGTTGAATGAATAAAACTTATATTGGATATGTAATCTGCAAATAATCACAAACTAATTTTAAACATAACAGCTACTTACTACTTAACACATACGATCATCTGCCCCTTCAAATGAAGCATTTCTGCTTCTACCCTTAAATAAATCTCCGCCACTAAAAGAGTGGGGGGTAAGTGCCTGGAGGTTTCACATGTGGAGTCGGACAGTGAATTCAGCGAAGAAGAGTCAACTCAGAACCGTCGGGGGGGGGGGGGGGGGTGTCTTGACAGAAGCGGAGTGTTTACAAATATAGGTAAACGTAGATGTTTAACAACCTGTTAGAAACACCAAAATGCAGGAAATCTTTATTCAAATAGTTCTGCTCAAAGTACAAGATGCCTTGAGTTGGTGTATTAGTACAATTTTTCCAAACTGGGAATGGGGTTAACTAAATACCGTAGGTTTATTAAACAAAGCCATGAGGGGGAAAGTCATTGAACTAAGCAGAAGCTACAAAACATTTCAGTTTTTCTATGGCCACAAATCATTTTCATAGGTGTCCAAAGCAGGGGCTTACTGTGGTCCCGGTCATTTAAAATTTAAAAGGTATAGGATGCGACACTAACGTTCATATGCCAGTGTTTAATTCCTATTTATATGTAACAACAGAAGCATCTTCAAAAGAGAAACCAATATTTAATAAATCTATCACCTGTTTTTATAAAGCTGTTTTCTCCTTTGTCCAAGACCAAACATAATTTCTGTTCCCTAAATGAAATACTGGACTCAAAAGAACAGTCTGGAAACTTATTCAGCTCTGCTTTGTTTTAAATGCAGTTTTTTATTTATCACACATTTCATAAGCATTGAATTGCCAGCATTTAATCCAAATTAATATTCATATTTTTTATAAGTTATCTGTCTAATTCAGGTTTTTGCAAAGATGTGATTAGATGTTAACAGCAATAATGGGGTGTGGAGATAAATCTGCTAGCTAGGGACAGTTCAGACATAAACAGTTTAATTCTGCAAACAGTTTGATGTTTACTCATTTAAAATACTTGCTGAATGGCTTAATTTTGTCTTGACACTAAAGGTAGGTAATTGTTTTGATCTTAATTGTATCAATTGATTATTTACTGTACACTATACGTGCATAAGCTTGTTTTTCAACTTACCATCGTTGTTCTGTGATCAACAGCTTATCTGTTGGGTTTCTAATTATGAAACAAATACAACTGCAGAGCTAAATAAATTAAATATCAAATTAAGTCTTGTAAACTTGCTGATTTATGTCGGTGAGCTAGGATGATAACAGATGTAAGAACTGAACAGATCAGGAGAAACAAGTTGGTTAAACATGAATTTTTATACCAGTATATAAATGTAAGACTGGTTTCACAAAGATCAATTTAACTTTACAGCTTGTTTGCGCACAGTCTTCCACAACCTATTCCACAATGAACATTTACAGCTGCATAATAATACTCGCACTTGTTCATCTGCTACATGAAAACCACTAAGTGCAGTAAAAACATTTCAGTTTAAGGCTTAATCAGCTTCTGGCCTGACCAATAAAAGACCAGCACTAGTAACAGACAAAGTTATGTACAGGGGGTAGCTCTCTGACCTCAATTTTTTTTTGTATTTTCACTGTAGGACATAACCTTCATGAGTTATTCACAGATCCACTCAGTTATGGTAGTTTTTTTTTTTTGTTGTTGTTGCAGCCAACATTTCCTCTCATCAATATTTACATTACCAATATTAACAGTACAGTGGGCCAGTAGTGTCTCTATTGTCTTTTTGGGTATTAAAACTTAATTTGATCTGGACTAGAGGCTTAGGCTTTTGGCCCAACAATTACTCTTGATCAGGACTAATTTTAGAATTTTGGGGAGAATATTTCCAAGAACTACTACCCTGCCTTGGCCTTTTCACAGCAGAACATCTTTCCAAATGCTCCCGTTTCTTTCAGTGGTAATGGATGGCGCTAAGAAAAGGTCTCCACTTAAAGTTGCTAGAATGTGAAAAAGTAAGGTAAAGCTGTCTGATTAGGCACCAGCCTTCTTATTTCCTTCTGTCATTTTCCAGTTTGGGCTTATCATTGGTCAGCTCAGTAGTTGATCCTAATAGGTGTTTATTCACCATCAGCTTTTTTGTTTGAATTTTGCCTCATTTCCTGCCCCATCCCTACCATCCTGGCTCTACAGAGTTCTCTGATCTTTGTGAAAGCAGTTAAAGCCTCAAGTGTAGTGATTCTGATACTGAAGCCATTTCTTACAGAACTGTCTTGTTTAAACTTTTTTTAGGCAAACCAAGCAGCAGTGAGCCCATGAATGTTTGGATCTGCGGACATTCACTTGTTTACTGGGCTGAGTCACGAGCCAAGTCTCCGGAGGTAGGTATGCAGCTGGGCATGGACCCCAGCAAGGTGACAATTTGGTGGAAGGGCATCCAGGGCATGACATGGTCTCAGCTTCTGCCCCAGCTTCACCAACTGAAGATCACTTGGCCTAATCCTGATGTCCTCATCGTCCACTTGGGTGGCAACGACCTTTGCACTGAGAGCCCCACTAACCTGCTAGCCTCTGTCAAGAAGGACCTGACCTCCATAAGGAGTATCTTCCCACGTTGTGTCTTGGTATGGTCCAATATCCTACCTCGGAGGGTGTGGCGCCATTCACCAGATAGCCACGAAGTTGATCTGGTGCGCACCACTGTGAATCGTAGAATCCAGAGCATTGTGTCTGAGCTGAATGGTGTCTCTCTGAGCCACGATAATATCCGATGTGGCACAAACACGGGTCTGTACCGGGCCAACGGCGTTCACCTGTCTCCAAAAGGAATTGATGTTTTCAATCTGAACCTGCAAGAGTTTCTAGAGAAGTGGGAGTTGGAAGTGATCTCAGAGAAGAGTGCAGAGGTGTAGGGTTCTCTGTTGTTTTTACATTTACCAGTAAGTAGCGAGGTAGTTTCATTAATCTTCATACTCATAGTATCCAGTATTGTGTTGGTAGTTACCATAGAAATGTCTGTCAGATAAAATATAATTGAAACTATTCCCTGTCTGCTCATTAAAAAAAGATTCATCAGATTTATTAGTTTAATGTAGAATTGCTTCAGTTATGCATCTGTTTTGTGGCAACATCTGTTGATGTTTGAACTACATGTAATTTTCTGTTTGTGTCCTTTTTAATTAAAAATTTAAAAAAGCAAAGTTCTGTTTTATTTTTACATAAGAAGTGATGTAGAATGAGTTGTCACCAAGAATAGTCTTTGGGCTGCTTCCTTCATTTGTTTTCACAATAATTTTTTCTCCGTCTCTTATCCACGTGTCCTACTTTGCCACACCTGCTGGTCTCTCATTCATTCATCCATCTATTCTGTTTGGCTTTTACTGACTTTTACTATGTCACCTCTAGACTCTTCCACCTGTCCCTTCATCTGGACTTTTTTCCATTTGCTCCCTACCCCTACGTCTTTGGTCTCTTTTCCACCTAGTCCCTACCTCTCTGAGCTCTTTTCCCTTTGCTCTTTACTATATTACAGATTTTAATGTTGTTTGCAAATATCACATTCTTGAAGATTACTCACACTGCAGTAGTATTACTTTTGGTAGGTGATGTTGAGCTGATACCTGGCCTGCAGCCCACATGTTTGGCGAACCTAGCTAACATAAAGATGGTACAGCTAGCGTCACTGTTTAGTGACTCAGCTGTCATTGCTGTCCTAAGTGCCACCAAAGCTAGCGTTTCAAAAGACAGCAGTTGGTGCCTCCCTTTGCTCCGTATGAAACATACACTTTGTGAGGAACCTCAAACAACTAATTTTCCATGCACTTTGTGCCAGCTGTGACTTTGTGTTTGATTTTACAGACTTACCAGAGTGATGAGAAGGATGAAAAAGACATGTGGATGTGGTGGCTCCTTCAGGGATACCCCCTGGAGTTCAGCTATAATTATTAAAAATGTTACCATGCAGAGGATGAAACTAAAAATGTGTTTGAAGTTTAAACTGGCTTCCTATTCTTTCTAGAAGATAAAACACATACACACATGTTCTGGTTCAGAACTTTATCTGATAAAAGTTATGAATCAGATAAAGTGTGTTCTGTATTTGCTCACATCAGTGACTGACAGCTCACTGAGCCAATAGGAGCTTCCCCATTGATCTTAGAGATCAAATTTGGAACAAGACCGGGTCTGAATCCATCTGTGTTAAGAAAATACTCATTATGTTTACAGTACACAGTTGAGTCAGGTCCTCTGGGCAGATTCTTCTTTGTTGAAATGTTTTGTCTTTTGTCCAAAAGACTTCTTCAGTCTGAGGAGCTGCAACAAACTCAGGCTTATAAGCAACTTCTCAGTGGCTCAACAAGTTTGCTGGTGACAGCCAGAACTAGCTGTTCACATGTTAAAGGAGGGCCAACAGCCTAAAAGTTGGTAGTTAGAGCTCTGATGGCTGCTTGTAATTCACAGAGAGCTGAGTGATGCATGCAATAACAGCATTGTAAGCACAGAAATAAATGTGTAGATGCCTCGTTGAGCAGGCTGGCCCATTGCAGCAGTACGTCCAGAACGTTCGCCATATTGGATGTGGCAGATCTGCCGGTCAACTAATACAAGGAAATGGACTGAACTTCAAGCACTGTTCTACAAAGTGTTTTAAGTTGATGCCTGTCATTCACACACACTAATATATTTGGAAACCAAACAGGCACCTAAGACAACATTTGTAACTTTTAACGCAATTAAAAATGTTTACTCCTTAAATGTTTAGGTTATAGGTAAGCACTAAACAATCTTATGTATTATATTGAGTGTTTACAACTACCAACGTGTAACAGCATTACTGTGGTGATAAATATAGAAATATTCATATTTAACGTTTAATCTTTGTCTATAATAACCAGATCCTGAAATGTAGATGTAATGTTTGTATTTTCTAAATAAAAGAACAACACTTCACATTTGACTGACTTTGATTAATCACATCAATGAACGTACAGACCCTTTCCAAAATATTAGAATATCATGGAAAAGTTTTTTAACTTTCATAATTCCATTCAAAATGTTAATCTTTAATAGATGATAGATTAAGGGCCCGCAATTTAAACAATTTCAATTATTTATTATTTTTACATAATTTGGGCTTCCAGCTCATGAAACCCACGGAAGCAGGATTTCAAAAAATTAGAATACTCTGGAGAAATCAGCCCAAATTTTGCAGGGCATGAATGTTTTAAACTGAGTGTGACACACTAATCATCTACTAAACTCAAAGCACCTGCACAGGTTTCCCCAGGTGTCATTAAATTGTTTCAGTTTGGTTCAAATGTTCGGTTCAATATGGGGAAGACTGCAGACATAACTGGCCAGAAGACCATCATTGATACCCTCCATAGGATGGGTAAGCCACAAAAGTTCATAGCTAAGGAGGCTGACTGTTCACAGAGTGCTGTGTCCAAGAATATCAATGAAAAGTCTAGTGGAAAGGCAAAATGTGGCAGGAGAAGATGCACCAGCAAAAGAGATGACCGTGGGCTTCAGCGGATTATCACACAGAAAAGATTCCAGAATCTGGTAGAGATCCAGAAAGAGTGGAATGAAGCGGGAGTCACAGCTTCAAAAACCACCACATTCAGACGCATCCGGGAGATGGACTACAGCTGTCGGGTTCCTCAGTCCTCTTTTCCAATGACAGTAAAGTGTGCCTTTCATTCGGAAATCAAGGGTTTGGAGGAAGAAGAGTGAGGAACAGAACCCGTACTGCTTGAGGTCCAGTGTGAAATATCCACAGTCAGTCATGATTTGGGGTGCAATGTCCAGTGCAGGTGTTGGTAAACCCTGCCTTCTTAAATCCAAGGTCACCTCAACAGACTACCAGAATGTTTTAGAGGACTTCATGATTCCTTCTGCTTAGGATCGGTATGGAGATGCAGATTTCATCTTCCAGCAGGACCTGGCCCCTGCCCATGCTGTCAGAAGCACCAAAACCTGGTTTGATGCCCATGCCACAATGATTGACTGGCCAGCTAACTCGCCGGACCTAAACCCCATTGAGAATCTATGGAGTATTCTCAAGAGGAAAATGAGGAGCACCAAACCCAACAACAAAGAGCTGACAGCAAGCATCAAGGAAATCTGGGCTTCCATAACTCCCAGGCAATACCACAGGCTGATTGCCTCAATGCCACGTCGCATCGAGGCAGTGATTAAGGCAAAGGGATTTCCAACCAAGTATTGAAGATATCGTTTTGAAAGTACCATATTTTGATTGATTTGTTGTGATCCTAATTTATTTTTTTCTGCAAAAACTTGAGAAGTAGTGTGGGCTGATGTTTTCATAGTATTCTAATTTTTTGAAATCCTGTTTTTGTGGGTTTCATGAGCTGGAAGCCCAAATTATGTAAAAATAAACAAACAAATACTTGAAATTGTTTAAATTGTGGGCCCTGAATCTATCATCTACTAAAGATTGACTTTTTGAATTGAATTATTGAAATTAAACAACTTTTCCATGATATTCAAATTTTTTGGAAAGTGTTTATATATAATATATTTATACACACAACGTATATGTGTATACATTTATATATGATATTGATACATATATCAGGTGTTGGTCATAAAATTAGAATATCATAAAGTTAATTTCAGTAATTCCATTTAAAAAGTGAAACTTTATATTAGTTCATTACACACAGACTGATATGTTTCAAATGTTTTTCTTTTAATGTTTGTGATTATAACTTGACAACTGATGAAAACTCCAAATTCAGTATCTCAGAAAATTAGAATATTAAGACCAATTTAAAAAAAAAAAAAAGATAGTTTGATATGTTGGCCAACTGAAAAGTATGAACATGAAAAGTATGAGCATGTACAGCACCCAATTGGGGCTCCTTTTGCCTGGATTACTGCAGCAATGCGGCATGGCATGGAGTCTATCACTGCTCAGTTGTTATGAGAGCCCAGGTAGCTCTGATAGTGACCTTCAGCTCTTCTGAATTGTTGGGTCTGGCATATCACATCTTCCTCTTCACAATACCCCATAGATTTTCTATGGGGTTATGGTCAGGTAAGTTTGCTGGCCAATAGAACAGGGATACCCTTGTTCTTAAACCTGATACTGGTAGCTTTGGCACTGTGTGCAGGTGCCAAGTCCTGTTGGAAAATGAAATCTGCATCTCCAAAAAGTTGGTCAGCAGCAGGAACCATGAAGTGCTCTAAAACTTCCTGGTAGATGGCTGCGTTGACCTTGGACCTCAAAACACTGGACAAACATAAGCAGATGACATGGCACCCCAAACTATCACTGACTGTGGAAACTTGTCACTGGACCTCAAGGAATCTGCTCACAGACTCATGTTCATGTTTGTGCTGATGTTCAATGTTTTATGTTATGAGTGCTTAGTGTATATTTAGTTAATGTTTTTCTTAGTTCATATCTTAGATGCTATTACTGTTTTTCTTATACATTTTATTGTTGGATGTAACTGGGACCCCGTGTACATAATTTCGCTCCACCACATGTACCACATGAGGTGCGAATGACAATAAAGAAACTCTGACTCTGACTCTGAATGTGGATTCAGTGTCTCTCGTTTCTTCTTCCAGACTCTGGGACCTTGATTTCCAAAGGAAATGCAACATTTACTTTCATCAGAGAACATAACTTTAGAGCACTCAGCAACAGTCCAGTTCTTTTTGTCTTTAGCCCAGACGAGACGCTGTTTCTTGTTCAAGACTGGCTTGACACAAGGAATACGACAGCTAAAACCCATGTCTTGCATATGTCTGCGTGGTGGTTCTTGAAGCACTGATTTCAGCTGCAGTCCATTTTTTGTGAATCTCCCACATTTTGGGATGGGTTTTGTTTCACAATCCTCTTTGATGTGTGTTTATCCCTATTGCTTATATACTTTTTCTACCACATTGTTTCCTTTCCTTCACCTCTCTATTAATGTGCTTGGACACAGAGCTCTGTGAACAGCCAG